GAGATACTAGTTTTTTCTGTCTCTGGCTTTGCCTTTCGCTTAAAGCTTTGTTTTCAACCTTGTGTGACTTGTAATTTTCATGATTTTTCAGGCATCTTTTCTGGATGTTTACTAGATTAGTACGGACATTCTAAATAGTAAAAATTCAAATTATATGTGCTCAGAGAACTAAAATTCATTCTTTTTAACATATATGTATTTAAATATATATATATATATATATATTAGAGAAAAAGAGAGTGAAAGTGTGCGTGAGCGGGGTATCGGGCAGAGGGAAGGAGAGAGAATCCCAAGCAGGCTCCATGCTCCTGCTTCCGCAACCCTGGGATGGTGACCTGAGCCAAAATCAGGAATAGGATGCTCGACAGACTGAGCTACCCAGGTGCCTCAAGTTCATTCTTGGTTAAAGCATTGAAGAACAAAAACTAAGTTTTATGTTTTCATCTCTATTGTATGATATCAATATAACCATATGTACTCAAGAGGCATTAAAGGAGAAGCATAGTGTAACTTAAGAGTTTTATTGATTGATTGATTGATTGATTGATTGGCTTCTGTCCAGCGCAGAGCCCAGTTTGGGGCTCGAGGTCACAACCCTGAGATCAAGACCTCAGCTGAGATCAGGAGTCGGATACTTAACCGACTGAGCCACCCATGTGGCCCTTAACGGTAAAAAAAATTTTTTTAATCTGATTTTAGAAGCCTGCTAAGAACTGCATGTTTATACAGATACTTAGTTCCTTAGGTTTGTAGCCAAAGTTCAGCCTAAACAGAGGACCTGTCCTTTGCCTGCGTGTGCTGACTTGCATGCTGTCTTAGCCACTCGGCAACCAAGAGCAAGGGAGACACTTGGGGTGATGTAGGGGCGTACTCCTTCCCGCTTGCACAGGCCGCTCTTGGCCCTCTGTCTCCTGAGCTTAGAAAGCTGCCCCTTCTGAAGAGGCTTCTCTTAGTAGGGCAGAGGAGGCCCCTCCTGCACTGTGGGGCTCTTGCCCAAGCCCCCTCATGCAAATCTGCCAGGCGGGACAGCCTGGGGGAGTCCTGCCCTGGGGCTCTGGCCCTGCAGTTGGGGCCTGGTAAGGCCCTAGCAGTCAGCACAGGACACTTTGAGAAGGGAGCAGCCTGGAAGGGACTGGGGAAATGGGGGCGGTGGAGCCTGGGCCGTGTCCCTCTTGGTAGCACATCTGTTTGCAAAGTGTCGACCTCAAATTCTTTCCAGGGTTTTCTGATGCCATTGAAGACGTTTCCAGTCCGCTTTTTCACCTACTGTTCGTGTGATTTCCCTTGGGTCTCAGGCTGAGCCTGGTGGGGGCAGGGCTGCGGTACAGTAGGAAGATTAAGGTTACGTGTGGACTTGACTTAGTGATGGAAATGGAAGCTGGGAACAGCATTTGGAAAATGCTTAGCGCTTAGGTTTAGTTATCAGTGGGTCTAGTATCAGAATTGCTGCTTTGCTGTTACGCGTGCCTATCCGCTTCTGGGAGAGGGCTGGCCTCGCAACCTGTCGACTCCGAGCTGGAGCTGTCCGAGCTGCCTGGTCGACTTTGTGTTTTATTTAGTCTGGGGGTTGAGTGCATCTTCCACCTCTAGAGTTGCTAACTGAAGAAAAACAATCTGGTTTTTAAAAGGTTTAAAATACAGGCTATCTAACTTTATTCTACAAAATACTAAAGCTAGTATGTGAGTGTTTGTCACGGTCACTGCCTTACATGCGTTATTTCATTTAATCCTTTCCGCTTTAGGGGCGCCTGGGTGTCTCAGTCGGTTGGGCGTCCGACTTCGGCTCAGGTCATGATCTCACAGTTTGTGGCTTCGAGCGCCGCGTCGGGCTCTGTGCTGACAGCTCGGAGCCTGGAGCCTGCTTCGGATTCTGTGTCTCCCTCTCTCTCTGACCCAACCCCGTTTGTGCACTCGCGCGCTCTCTCTCTCAAAAATAAAAAAAATTAAAATCCTTTCCACTTGATTTCATTTTCATCCTGTAATTATTTTTAATGCTCACATTTCATGAAGGGAACTGAGGAATAATTTCAGTGTTCTGAAGCCATCGTACGATCTGTTTGAGAGGGAGGGAAAGAAGGAAAGAGCAGGGTCCATGGAGGGAAGGACCCAGATGAATCTAGTAACATTAACCATCACCTCCAGTAATTCTGTTCTGCAGTGAGCTTGGGAGAGGGTCGGAATCACCCCTCCCTCTGGAGACTGACCAGCGCCGCCTCCTCACACGTTCTGCTGTGCGGGAGTTTGACCCTCGTGTGCTTCTCCAGGGAGAAGCTGTGGTTTTCTGGGCTGTGGAGTAAGCCGTGGCAAAAACACCTCCCTGGGCCACGGGTCTGATTAAGCCGGGGCCAGATACTGTGTAGAGTTTTAGACTTAGGTGCATCTCACTGAAAAGCATGATGTGAAATTCACGTGATTATAGGAGTGGGTGGGAAAAGGTCCCACTTAGTGGTGAGCGACCACACCCTCACCCTCCTGCCGTCGTAGCCGGTGGGCCGTGAGCATCCTGGTGTGTCCTCCACCGTCCCCTCCTGTCTTTCCTCTAGAGCCAGGCTGCCGGCTGTTCCTAGAGCCTGGCGTCTGTCCACACTGGCACCCTCTTGAGGGTGTCGTGTTCGGGCATTTTGTTACGTTTGTATCTCCTCTCATCAGACGTTTCACCCAGAGTCAGCCAGCGGGTCTGCTGCTCCCCAGGTTCCCTGTCCCCCTTCTCACCTGTCGGATTTTTGACACCCTCTGCTGGAATCCTGTCATTCCTAGGATTCCTGCCACAGGCAGTAGCTGTGCATGGTTCTGGGCTTGAAATTATTTCAGCGACAAGAAATTAAATTTATTTGTAAGTTGGGTCACAAGGCCTACGTTAAACCTGGCTACAGGTGGGATGGCTCTCAGCTTTGTCGTCGGGCTCGTCGAGTGGTTCAAAGTGGTGGTAGCTGGTCGTCCACCCCTGTTAGCTTCTGACAACACCATTCGTCGCGCATTAGAAATTAGTGTAGTTCTTGTAGTGGGATAAAAATGTGAGAACATGTAAATGTAACTTTTCAAGTAAGGCTGTGAGTTCTTGCCTATGCCCTCGCCAGGGCCCGGAACTGCCGCCTCTGTGCTGAGTCACAGGCTGGAGCCCCTTCGGCCCTCAGTGGCCTTGTCAGGGGGAGAGCCGCCCCTGCTCCACGCTCGGAGCCTCCCACGTGTCAGCCGCCGCAGTCAGCCAGTGGGGCCGAGCTCGAGCTGGGACCGAGCCCAGATCTGCAGGCCTCCGCCCCTGTTCTCAGCTGGATGCTCTCATGTCTGTGCGTCCTGATCTCTGAGGTGACTGTTCAAGTACTTGCCTAGGGCGGGGGAGGCGTCTGCCGTTCGTGTTTGTCACACTGATTTCTGTAAACTTCAGGGAAACGTAAACCAACCCAAGACACCGTTCACTGAGGATGTATCAAATACCAACTGTAGCACAGTTGGTGGCAATTAATGATGATGGTAACTTGACACTGAGGTTTAATAATGTCGGTAGAACAGGTATTGGAGAATGTTAGGGTGAAAGGTCACTGGGAATGAAGTTGGAAAGTTTGGGTTTTGTTAATCATTGAGTAAGAGGGAATAAAAAAGTTAGTCCGTTTCCACCCTGGAGAGTGAGAACAACTATGGGGTATTTATATAAGCCTTTCATGGTTGCCTAGTAAGTTCCTGGTAAAGTTGGGGTAGTCAGAAGCCGCGGTTACGCTGCGGGGCGTGGCTTGCGATCCGCACCGGCAGGGGAGCCAGGCAGGTGAGCCACACTCAGAGCAGGGACAAGGCCGCCTGGCTGTGCCCTCCTGCCGCGCCCGAGCCCGGACTCTGGCCTGGACTCCCACGTGGGCCGGAGGCGACTCTAGGAGGTCGGGCGGGGGAACGCGTCGTGGACCGGCACGCCGTAAGTGGCCAGAGGTCATTTGTCTGTAGCCCGAGGGTTAAGTGCGCGTTTAGAGGGCCAAATAACGTGTTTGTTCCGTGGGCCAGTAGACCGAGTCCCTGAGAAGCTCGGAAGAGTGTTGAAAAGTTTTTTAGATGCAGGAGTTCTGTGTGTTTGTTGACATTAGTAGGCACAGTACAATTTTTATAACATAAACAATGCTTTTTATTTCTGTGGTTCTTAATCCTTTAAAGAATATTTGGATTGTTAGAAAATGGTGTGAATTGAAGTACTTTTGGTTTGGTTTATAGGAGACAGTCATTTACACGTAAGTATTTTTTGTCCAGGCTGGTCTGTATTTTTAGTTTTATCTTCCTTAGATTTTTCAACAGTGGGTTATGATTCACATTACTACTATGAGGTGTGTTTTTTGTTTTTTGTTTTTTTTTAATTTGGAGTGTGTGTGGGTGTGTGGTGAGTGTGTGTGTGAGAGAGAATATTTTTAGCCAGAGGAAAGTTTGAGTCATTCCAGGGAAGTTTAGATGACAATCTGAAAAACAGGGTGCTCAAAACGTGTTTTTAGGATTTTATTTTTTATTATTTGTTATTTTTTTTGAAAGCGGGCTCTGCGCTGACAGCAGAGGGCCTGATGTGGGGCTCGAACGCGATGAACCTCGAGATCATGATCTGAGCTTAAGTCAGTCGCTCAACCGACTGAGCCACCCAGGTGCCCCTTAAGATTTTACTTTTAAGTAATCTCTACACCCAGTGTGGGGCTCAAACTTACGCCCCCAAGATCAAGAGTCGCACGCTCTATTGACTGAGCCAGTCAGGTGCCCTAAAACTATTTAATTTAAAAAAAAAAAGTTCTTTTGGGGAAAAATAAAAGTGTAAGCAGTGCCTTGAGCTCGTGTGTCGATCAGCCTGCAGTTTTCTGGTTCTGAGGTGCTTGGAAAAGCGTCAGCGTCTGTGATAAGTGTCTGACTGGGGACTAAGGATCCCTTCTATTTTTTTCTTAGGTAGTTTGTTTTGTTTTGTTTTGTTTTGTTTTCCTTTTTCAGTCATCTCTAAGCCCAGCGTGGGACTCAAGCTCACAACCCTGAGAGCAAGAGTCACATGCTCTTCCAACTGAGCCAGCCAGGTGCCCCAAGAATCCCATCTATTTTAGTTAACAACAACGAAAACTTACTACATAAGAAAGAGAACATTTTGACACCTTTAAGAATTTAAAAATACATTTTGAAAAGGGTCTGAGTCACTTTCTGTATTCTTCTGAAAGTGCACCAATTTTCATAACTATAAGTGAGTTGATCTCAGGTTTCCCCTTTGACTCCCAGGGTATGTTGCTGTAGGAAACTACGCCTAACATAAGGGTTTGCAGCGATGAGAAGATTTTGTCTCCTTTGTCTAAAAAATAGAAAACAAAGAACGACTAGCTTTGTTTTACTAAAATCTCGGTGGTGACGTTTTGGTCACCGACTATGTGCCGTGGGTTGGCTGTGACAGACAGCACTTCTCTGTGTTTCTACCCTCCTAACACCCTGCATTGCTTTCTCCCCCACCTTCTGCAGTATGAGACCGTGACCATGGACTTTTCTCGGCTCCACATGTACACCCCTCCTCAGTGTGCGCCCGAGAACACTGGCTACACGTACGCACTCAGGTGAGCGTGCCTGCGTTCCGTCGCCCTCCCGGTCGCCTCCTGCCCCTGGATGCCGTGGATTTGTGGGCGCTTCCTGCTGCTTGCAGCCACACGCTGTCTTCTGAAAGTGAACATTTCTACGGAGTTTATATCATACTATGGCTTTGCAAAACTGCTAAACTGACATGGAAATTGTGAGGTGGTTTTGAAAACCGAACATTTCTGATGACTCAGGGATGAGTCATTGCAAATGTACTGCTGTCTCGGACCCCGCCCAAGTGGCTGCGGTCTCTAGAATAAATCTTTGTGGTTATGGGTAGGGTTTTGTGATTTAAACCGATGGCTGGGTATTTTAAAGTTAGTAGAAATAACCTGGAAAATGATTTGCCTTTGAGAGGAGGTATCCTAAACGGAATTTTGATGAAGCCCGAGGTTTGAAGAACACGGCTTTTCTCAGATGCGAGGTTTTCAGTTCTTATTCTGACATGATACTGAAGTTCACGGCTAAGTCGAAGAGTTGCTGAGTAGCCCTTTGCATGTCTAGTTCACCAAGTAGGAGTGATTATTCAAATGGATTATAAAATAGGGGATTGTGCCAAAGGAAAATACGCTACCGGGCGGGTTAGGGTTTGGCAGTTAGGAAAGCTGTTGTGGGGGTCCCTGGGGGGCTCAGTGGGTTAAGTGTCCACCTTCAGCTCAGGTCGTGATCTCGTGGTTCACGGGTTCGAGCCGCACGTCAGGCTCTGTGCTGACAGCTCGGAGCCGGGCACCTGCTTGGGATTCTGAGTCTCCCCCTCTCTCTGCCCCTCCCCTGCTCGTGCTCCGTCTCTGTCTCTCTCTCAAAAATAAACATTTAAAAATATTTTTGAAAAAGAAAAAACACCTGTCGTGTTCTGGAAAGACCTTGAAGGCACACGAGGAAAATGCTCATGTAATTTTTTTCAATGACTTGTCTTCTAAAAGGGAAAAATATAGTTTAAAACTTAAGAAAATCGGAAGGTATTTTAACAAAGATGCTTTTGTTTCTTCATTTGAGAGTGAGTGCCTGAGCAGAGCAGAGGCGGGGGGGTGGGGGGAGAGAGGGCGCATGCACCAGAGAGTATCATAAGCAGGCTCCATGCTCAGCATGGAGCCCAACGTGGGGCTCAATCCCACGAAATCAAGAGTCAGATGCTCTCAGACGACTGCGCCACTGAGGCGCCCCTGGCAAAGATGTTTTTGCAGCGTTTTTAACTGTTTTTTTAACAGTGTTAGTCAAACGTCACATTGAATGATTGCGTTTTTATTCACGATTCTAGATCATTGACTGTTTTTGTCAAAAGTTCTGAAATATGTTAGAACAAAGGGAGTGGGCCAACTCAAAACTGTTCCTTGTTCTGTATTGTGGAGCATAAAAATAATTACTCTCGGTTAATTATTTTTAGCTTTTATAACCTATTTTAAATACAGTTTTTTAAAAATGCACACGTGTGGGTCTCTGCACCGGGAAAGTCGCCCGGCTAATTTTGGTGCACGCGGCCCTCCTCCAGTGAGATGTGGGTGTAGACGCGGAAGTGTGGGCGGACCAAAGGGGCAGAGGCGGCCGGTGTGCTTGGTGCACCGTGCTGGGAACTTAGACTTGGAGGGCACTGGGAACCCGGCAAGGGCGTTAAGCCGGGAGCCGCGTGACCAGGCTTGTGCTTGGAGGGACTGCAGCCTGCAGGGGTGGGTAGGGTGGGTGGGGGCGGCCGGGAGACCATGGCGGGCCCCGAGGTGTGACGCTGTGGTGGCCTGTACAAGGGGCCCGGCCCAGCTTGGACGGCTGGGGTGGAGATGAAGGAGGGGAGGGCGGGGACAGCGGGGCGGTCTGTGGGTGGCGGGTTCTGGTCTGGGCAGCCGCGTGTAGTGCAGGACCGGGCGCCGGGTGGCGGGTCGCGAGGCGAGTGTCCGGCGGTCGTGGTGGATGGAGCCCACGGCTGAGGCCCCGCGGCCCCCGGGGCGGCGGGAGGGGATCTGCCCCTGCCTGTTTGTCTCTGGTCTTTCCACTTGCGTCACCGCTGTGTTCCCCGTCTTTGAAACCTGCCTGTGCCACTCGGCTCTACCGGAAGCCACCTGACCTCACTGCATGTCCCTCCCTCCCCCGTCCCGAGCCCCACTTTGACGCATGCGCCCCACGGCTACCTGGGCCGGTCCTTCCCCTCAGTTCTGGGGACTCTGCACCCCGGCCCACGGCTGTCTGGCCCCGCCCCGATCTTCCCCCTTAGCCCCTGAGTACCCACCTGGAGGGTCCGCCACCATCCTGGTCGGTCCGTTTGTTTAACTGAAATGTTTTCCTGCTGTGGAGACTGTTAGGTGAAAGTCAGGGGTGGTGGTGGTAATAAGCCCCTGTGCCTCCTCCCACCTTCTGCTGTTTGGCGCTGGGCCCCTTCCCTCCCTCCCTCTCCGGTGGATTGTTCTGAAGCAAATCTTCACAGGATGCTTGCTTATTTATTTATTTATTTATTTATGTTTATTTTTTGAGAGAGAGCGAGCATGAGCACGAGTAGGGGAGGGGCAGAGAGAGAGAGGGAGACACAGAATCCCAAGCGGGCTCCAGGCTCCAAGCTGTCACCACAGAACCCGACGCGGGGCTCGAACCCACGATGTGTGAGATCATGACCTGAGCCGAAGTCGGGCGCTTAATCGACTAAGCCACCCAGGCACCCCTAAAAGATATTTTAAAAACATGGGGCGCCTGGGTGGCTCAGTCGGTTAAGCCTCCGACTTCGGCTCAGGTCACGATCTCGCGGTCCGTGAGTTCGAGCCCCGCCTCAGGCTCTGTGCTGACCGCTCAGAGCCTGGAGCCTGTTTCAGATTCTGTGTCTCCCTCTCTCTCTGCCCTTCCCCTGTTCATGCTCTGTCTCTCCCTGTCTCAAAAATAAATAAAACGTTAAAAATAATTAATAAAAAAAAAAGATATTTTAAAAACAACTAGCCAAAATACAAGTATCACACCAAAAAGCCCCTGGTAACTTAAAATAACCCCTGATATCTCTGTAATACACCAGACAGTCGGTGCTCCAATTTACCAGATCCTCAGTTTTGCTTGAAGTGAGCCTAAGCAGGATTTTCCCATAGTACCTATTTGCTTCCTGTGAGACAGTGGTTAGGTGCGGAGGTTCGATCAGTCCCAGGTTTTGTTTGTTGGCATGACTGCGCACTTCCTTCCTGTTGAGGGTGTGCGGAGGCTGCCCAGTGCTGGCGGCTGGGCCACGCCACCGCTGAGGAGCCCCCACAGCCCCCCCACACGATGGGGATGCAGCCACAGGGACACTGCTTGGGCAAGAGGCAGACTTTCCCAGAAGCCCATCGAGACCCACTCTCCCCACCACCCCACCCCCCGCCTCACCCCCGCCCCCTGACACACACACAAACCAGAGGAGACCCAGGTCAGGTGGCAGCCCGTGCCCCGGAGGCCGGCAGCCGGGAAAGTCCGTGTCTGACCGTGTCAGCCTCCCGTAAGTGCGCCGCGGTCTCTGCCACGGAAACCAAGAGAACAGAGTATTTCGAGAAGGTGGGTCCCGTGCCAAAGTGGTGGGACTGGGACACGGGCCGTGAATTCAGCCCCGTGGGAGGCCATGGGCAGAGGCAGCAGCAACGGGGGCAGGAGTCGGAATGAAACGGGTCGAGGAGTGAGTGTAGACAACTCTTACAACAAGCGTGGCTGGTTGGGAGGAGAAAGGGCCCGGCTCTGTTTAGGGTCGTTTTTCTCCACCGTGGGGACAGGTGAGTGTCTAGGTGCTGATGGTTGGGCACCACAGGGAGTTTGAAGAGCTCGGAGAGAGAAGAGGTACCAGATGGAGAAGGTCTTCTGGAGACTGGGAGAGATCCGGTCCAGAGTGCACAGGTGGGCGTTAGGGTGGCACGTCTGCTGTGGTCGGAAGGAGGAGGAAGGGCCGTCTGAACGTGGGTCCTTCATAGGCTCCCCTGAGAGGAGTCCGCAGTTCTCTGGTGTGGCTGGTTTGCTGAGGAGCCAGAGGAGGAGGTGAGGCGGGAGGGAGGAGGCCTGCCGGGGCAGGGGTGGCACCCGAGCGCCACTGGTGCAGAGGGCCATGGGCTCGGGGGCGTGCAGCCGTCGGCACCATCCAGGGGCACAGCCGGGACTGAAGCACCGACAGGGCAGGGGAGTCGCCGGGTGGGGGTGCTGTGACCATAATCCCGATTGGAGCCCCGGGCGAAGCTGAGGGACCGCATTGGTGGAGGATCCCGGCCGGTGGGTGACGAAGGGTCAGGGGTCAGATGGGCGGCCACTGGGGTCACACACCCAGGTCAGCAGAACTCGGACCCGTGGAGGTTTGGTCAGATTCCTAGAATTGCCCCCTTGTGGGCCTCACTTTGCCCATTCACCCCTGCCCAGTGGCCGAACTGCTCATTTATGACCACTTAGCTACGCGCGGCTCTGGCGGGAGGCAGGACCACCTGCCCCGTGGCGCTGCCCTGTTTCGCGCCTTGTGGCTGCCGCGTGTCCGTATTTTCCAGCTTTCATTGGTGGTAGATTTTTTCCTGGCCTTTTAATTAAACATGCATCTAAGGGCTCCTGGGTGGCTCAGTCGGTTGAGTGTCTGACTTCGGCTCGGGTCATGGTCTCATGGTTCGTGGGTTCGAGCCCCATGTCGGGCTCTGTGCTGACAGCTCAGAGCCTGGAGCCTGTTTTGGATTCTGTGTCTCCGTCTCTGTCTGCTCCTACCCCGCTCATGCTCTCTCTCTCAAAAATAAATAAAGATTAAAAAAAGTTTTTTAAGTGCATCTAGGTAACATATTTTTTTTTTTAATTTTTTTTTTTTTTTAACGTTTATTATTTTTGGGACAGAGAGAGACAGAGCACGAATGGGGGAGGGGCAGAGAGAGAGGGAGACACAGAATCGGAAACAGGCTCCAGGCTCCGAGCCATCAGCCCAAAGCCTGACGCGGGGCTCGAACTCACGGAGCGCGAGATCGTGACCTGGCTGAAGTCGGACGCTTAACCGACTGCGCCACCCAGGCGCCCCTAGGTAGCATATTTTTAAAACGACATTTGATTGATGAAGGAACAGAACTAAAAGCTGCTCTGAAGGATTCAGTCTGTTATTTTCTTTGGGGTCTTTCTGGCGTCTCCTTTTCTATCCTAGTATTAGAATAAAGTACCTTAACAGCACACTTGCTAGGGTGGGTCCCCGGACTACAGCATTGACAGAGGCGTGGGTACCGAATGCATTAGACGAGCGTCCCTGGGTGTGACCAGACAGGTGGGTCCAGACTGAAAGGACCCATTGCCCCACTTGGTCTCAGCCCCAAAGGTTCCCACTGTTAACAGTTTGAAGAGAACTTTCCAGGTCTCTATGACTTTACCTACCTCTGTATGTATGAGAATACGTGCTTCTGGGGTTTTTTATGGGGTTCTTTTGTTTTTTAAGTAAGCTTTAGGCCTGACGTGGGGCTTGAACTCAATGACCCCGAGAGCAAGAGTCTCATGCTCTACTGACCCCATGTGGTTCTGTTTTATAGTTGGTTTTAACATAAATAAGATGATACTAGGATATTTTCCTTTAACAGTGTATGCAGATCTTTCATGATTTTTAACAGCCTCACAGTGTTCTAGAATTCGGACATATCCCAGTTTATTGAACCATTCCCCTGCTGATGGACAGTTCCTATCGTCTGCCGTTGTAATATTCTTGTACTTCCGTCTGCTTGGGGTCTTTCTAAAGACACTAACAGGGATCTGGGACGCCCTCTGCTGGCAGAGGCACCCCAGGTTCTGTGTTGAAAAGCCGGGACCCCTTCCACACTGTACAGTATTGTAGTGTCCCCACGTTGGAGCCCCCGGGGCCCGTGGGGTGGGCTGGGAGGTGGAGGTCTGTGCACGTTGGCCGCTTGCTTGCTTCCACACGTTTCTGTCGTGGTCTAGCTTGACCACTCAGAGACACACCTGGTCTAATACGTTTATCGTAAACGTGATCCTGAAAATATTTTTCTAATAAAACATAAGGCTAAAATGCCCTTAGCCTTCTTGGTTTCCTTGAGAGACTCCTGGTTCCTGCTGAGTTTTAGACCCTACGCCCAGTCTGCTCTCCCAGGCAGGAGTGGTTTTCCCTTGGCCTCCTGGATGCCTCCTTGTGGGTTAATATTTCTTGATTTAGAAAAAGTTGCCAACGACACAGAACAATGTATCTTTTGATTTAAGATGATTCCACGGAAGCGTATTGAAGTGACTTCGTCATGAGCTTGTCTCTGGCTTTATGGTGAGTTAGACGCAAAGTGGCTTTACGGTTCAGCGTCTTGCCGTTCGCGTTTCTCCTCACAGTGGATTAGATGCCGTGTGGTCACTGTCTCCTGAACTGCTGTGTCAGGCGTGGAGTCTATTGTAAATGCATTCTGATTTTCAGTGATCTTGACACAGGTCCACATAGTGGAGTTCTTATGAGCGTGTCCTGAGGCAGTTCTTAGGGCCAGCTCTAGAGTGAAATATCTGGGCGCCTGGGGATTTATTTCACAGAGGGTGTGGCCAGAGCGTCTGTGGTGACTTCGGCTTTGTAGAAAAGTCATCACGCAGTCATGGCTATTTTTCAGAATTTGCACTGGATTGTTACGTGTCCCGTTCATTATTCAGTTTGTTTCAGAAACTTCCGTCAGCGTTATTTACCTCTGACGAGTTTTTTTTCCTTCTAGTTCGAGTTATTCGTCTGATGCTCTGACTTTTGAGACTGAGCACAGATTGGACCCTGTGTTCGATTCTCCAAGAATGTCCCGCCGCAGTTTGCGCCTGGTCACCACAGCCTGTGCCACGGAGGACGGCCAGGCTGGGGACGCTCACTCCTGTGCCAGTAGCACTGCCTCCCTGAAGGACAGAGCGGCCAGGTAAGCACTGTCTTCCTTGTTACCCGCGCACGCTCTGACAACATTAAAACAAACGTACCAGCTTTTTGGTCTGTAGAACCACACTCTTGCACTTAAGTACACACGGGAGACTCACACTGTCGTCGCTGTGCTACGGTGAGGACTGAACCTAATTCTGGACCGTGTGGCCTGTCTGGTGTGGACGGTCTCGTGCAGGCCACGGTTTCCAGTTTTGTGTTTGTACTCAGACTCGGGCAGGGGCGCGGACACCCTGGAGCATGCGCAGTGCCCGTCCGCACGGCCGGCCTCGTAGCGGGAGCCAAATGTGGCTGTCCTCTGCTGTCATCCGAGGGGTGCCTTCCCCCGACGATTGCGTGGCACTGTGGCCACCGTGGATGAGCTCTGCATGGTTAACAGCCAGGTCTGTGTATTAAAGTCTGTGTGAACTAACAGATGCATCATGACGGCCAGCCGTTTGACGATGTTCACTCGGTTCCTGAGCTTTGCACGTGCCCACCACCACGCGTGTGGCCAAGAAGAAGCAGAGTGCACGATCTTTGTGCCATTTAAAGATCGTGTTCTGTTGCTCACGTCAGAATGATGAGTCTCCGATGGAAATGGTCGGCTTTCACTCAGGAATGGGGTGGTTGTGTTAGAAGAGGCGGTGAAAGGCCAGCTTGAAGCCAGGTGCCCTGCCAAGGTTCCCACGTGCCTCACACTCATTGTGGGTTGGTTAGAGGATGGGCCCGCAGTTCAGTGGGCTCATGAGTGGTCGTGAGCGCACCCGAGGGCTCCGGTCGGCTCCACGTGCGAGACGGGGCCTCAGCTGCCTGGCCTCGGCCCGCCTGTTTCTCTGCCGCCGGGCGATGCCACGATCGGTTTCCTGATGTGCTGTGTTCGCGTGCAGACTTGTGTTCCTGTCCCCCCACTGCTCGTTCCCTTGAGGAGGGAGGTCCTCTCCCTGCCCCAGCTCGGTGCTTGGGGCTTTGTTGTCTGTGCCAAACAGGAGGACAGAAATGAGGTTACAGCCTTTCCTCGCTGTCCTTAATGCAAGGCCGGCTTCACCGGGGACCCTGAAATAGTGCAGGATGTGCGTGTCTGTGCACACACTTGTTCTAAAAAGCAGAAGGGTTCAGTTTATGCATCATAATTTTTATCGTTAGGTCATTTTATTAGATTATTTTAAGTTTTAATCACTTTGGGGTCATGGGGCCCAGCATACTCTGAAAACTGTCCTGTATGTACAATTTTAGAAGCAGCTCTGGGACCCTGGCTCAAGGATTCCTGTTGCAGGTTAATAAGCGTTTCATTACAGCAGAGAAGACATAAGGAAACGTTGCCTTAAAAATACTACGTTCTTAAAGATTTTGTATCGGTAAAATGTAATCGTTTTGTATTTCTGAGAAGCCTGTCAACTTGTCCCTTGTGTTCCTTTCTTCTTAGAACTGCAAAGCAGCGCAGGAGTGCGAGCAAGCCGGCTTTTAGTGTCCACCATGCCTCCAGGCGGGTCGTGTCCTCGGCCGTGGGCCAGGGCGGCACCGGCTCGCTGTCAGGCGCGGCCTGTGTGCGGCCTTCTGTGCTGGATGAGTCTCTGATCCGTGAGCAAACCAAAGTGGACCACTTCTGGGGTGAGTTGGCTGCTGTTGGGTTCTCAGGTTGTCTTGCGAAGGAGGGAAGTCCCGGGCCAGGTTGTCCCTCTGCCCTGTACAGGGTGGGAGGAGCTCCTAGAAGATTCAAGGCGTTTCTCCAGACTCAAATACAGAATGCGGGCAACGGCTTCCCTCTGCCGCTTCTGCTGGCCGCGCTCACGTGGAAGCGTCTGTTGTGACGTGGAAGCTGAAGCAGTCTGGTAGTAGCCTGAGAACTCTCCTGCTAAGGGCATTACTTGTGCAGGCTGGCTGAGTACAGTTGTCACAGAGGTTCACCAGTGTGGTTTCAGGTTCAGACAGCTCTAAGCAGCCAGGCAGACACAGTATTTTCGAGTCACTGGGAAGCAGTCCACGTGGGTGTCTTGACACTGGAAAGCAGCGTGGGCTCGTGAGCCTTCTTGACTTTAGGCAGCAACGGTGTGACCTGGTCCTTGCCGCTGACAGTGTGATGGCCACGGGGAGCCGCAGCTTTCAGAGGGACGTGGCTGCTTGCCTGTGTCCACTGGATGTTCACGGCGGCTCTTTTGAGAAGATGAGGAGATCCAGATTAGCTCCCAAAATGTTGTGTGCTAATTCGGGCAAGCCTGGGAGTTGGCGCTCAGCTGGCGAGGGTAGCTCGTAGGCGGCACAGGGGGTGGACGCCACCGGTGAGGTTTCTGCCTGCCGGTGCTTGAGGGAGCACGTTCTTCTCCCCTGATCCCTCCTCCGTGTCTGCCCTTGGGGTCCGCAGGTGTGCGTGTACAGGTGTGTGCTGTCTGCAAAGATGTGCTTTCTCCTGGAACCAAAAGATGGCGTCTGCATATGTCTGGAGGAGTTTCTGTTAGTTGTAGGCATTTCAGGAAGTGAATCTTGGCCGTTGCCAAAATGCCGACATATTAACCATTGTAACCTTTACTTTTTGTGTGTGTGGCTTTTGTTCTGATAACTCGAGCTCATGAACAGACACGCGTATGTGTGTGTGTTTTAGGTCTTGACGATGACGGAGATCTCAAAGGTAATTATTTCAGTTCTTTTTTTAAATACACTTTTCAAGATGGAAGTTTTTGTAGGTATCTGCAGGTTGTGATAAACAGGTTCCCTCTACTTTCTGAAAACTTCAGGGGGAAATAAAGCTGCCGCTCAGGGAAATGGGGATCTGGCAGCAGAAACTTTCAGGAGCAACGGCTACACCTGCAGAGACTGCATCCTGCTCTCTGAGCACAAGGACACGCTCACGGCACGCTCCACTGCCCACGGACTGTCGTCGGGAACATACTCGAGGGACGAGAGTCAGAAACGTGAGTCTGTCTCTCTCAAAGGTTAGAAAAAGATTGCATGTCCGAATATTTTAAGATATATATACATAACCCTACTTTTGTAGGCCTTTTAGCATCCATCCACACTACTTTCTGTCATTGACTTGAATTCAAAACCGTGTGATAAAAGTTTAAGAAATGCGCCCAAGGGGCGCCTGGGTGGCTCAGTCGGTTGGGCTTCTGACTTCCACTCAGGTCATGATCTTGCGGTTCGTGGGTTCAGGGCCCGCGTTGGGCTCTGTGCTGACAACTCGGAGCCTGGAGACTGCTTCAGATTCTGTCTCTGTCTCTCTGCCCCTCCCTTACTCGCTCTCTGTCTGTTTCTCTCTCAAATATAAATAAAATAAAATAAATAAAACATAGAAAAAAAAATTAAAAAAAAAAAGAAATGCGCCCCAAATTAGCTTTGTTCTTCCTTGTCCTCTTTGAATAAATTCATTTTCTGTGGCTTGTAGTTTTATACCCAGGAGTACGTGAAGTTCTGTGAATTTGAACTTCGGGTGAACAAAGAAGAGTCCTTCCCTGAAACCGTAGTGGCGCCATGCGGCCACTTTATTTTCCCACGAGATCATAGGCGTTCCCACATGTGGCGGGAACAGCTTTGTGGTGGTGCTTTGGCCTCGACGGCCGCGGGGGCTTATGTGCAGGAGATGAGCAAAGTGTGTTCTGTGATCTGTGCCGTTACTTCCGCTCCAGGGACGGTTCGGCTGGAATATGGGGCGGGGGCAGTCGTTGGGGGAGGCCCTCGCGGGAGGCAGTGGCCCTTCGCCCGGTGGAGGTGGGCCCCGTTCTGAGTCCCGGCTGCGCCCGCTCCAACAGGGAGGTCCTCGGAGGTGGCCCTGGAGGCGCTCGGCTGCCTCTCAGAACTGCCAGGGCTGCGTGGCTTTTCCAGGCGGGCCTGTGGGCTTCCTCCTGGCCCGGCACTCCCGGCTCTACTCTTGGCCCGGGTCCCTGAGGGGAGCGTGGCTGCAGATCCCCGGCCAGCTTCCGTCCGTGACTCCTGCCCCGTGATTCCCGCTCACCTCCAGCATGGAGAGGCCAGGGAGCCATGGCCTTGTTCCCCAGCTTTCCGCCACTCCCCTGTTTTGTTTTTTTTTTAATTTAAAAAAAAAATTTTTTTTTTTCAACGTTTATTTATTTTTGGGACAGAGAGAGACAGAGCATGAACGGGCGAGGGGCAGAGAGAGAGGGAGACACAGAATCGGAAACAGGCTCCAGGCTCTGAGCCATCAGCCCAGAGCCCGACGCGGGGCTCGAACTCACGGACTGTGAGATCGTGACCTGGTTGAAGTCGGACGCTTAACTGACTGCGCCACCCAGGCGCCCCCACCACTCCTCTGTTTAATGCAAGTGCCCACATGCTGGGCCAGACTCGAGGTCCTTCTCGGGAGGACAGGGCAGGGCCAGTGGCCAGGAGGGTGGCCCGTCATTTGTGTCTCACCATGTTCCCGGCTGTGCCCCGCATGTAAGGGCACGCAGTACTTTTCAGATGATTGTTTTGAGGTAATGAAGGATGGTCCCAGGACTGAGAGTTATTCCCATTTTAGCATCTTACCCTGTGGCTCAAGTTTCTGGTTTTGTCTACTGTAGGTCATTGACACTGTTGGCTCTAACCTAGCAGAATAGGTCGAAGGGGAGGGGGAGGGGCCGAACAGACACGAGGATTCTGTTCCTGGACCTTCCGGGTTGTGGAGCCAGTGTCACGGGGCGCTCTCCGCCCCTGGTGCTCTGGCCTGCGCCGCAGCCCCCTGCAGTGTGGCCATGCATGTCTTCTAGACCGGCGCACCAGGCATTGGCTTAGGAAGTTCGCTGGGAAGGGACGGGGCTAGCACCTGGACCCGGGTATCGTGCCTCCAGGGCGCTGTCCCCGAGATGCCACGCCACTTCCTGTGGGCTCACCATCCGGGGGAAAGCCCGGCACTTGACTGAACTCTGTGTCACCATCAAAGGTGCTGTGTGTGTGGCTACATTGAGGCTGCATTTTGAAGCCCGCTGTCACCCACCAAGTGGAACACAACGTCGTTCTTCAAGTGGAAGTGCGTTCCACAGCCATCGCCTGGTGCAGCGACGGTGCTTACATACTAGTGGGGATGGCCCCTCCCTCGTAGCATAGTAGAGGTCACGTGTGTCTATTACCCACAGCCACCCGTCCTCATCCTGACGCTGTAGGTAGGGGCCAGCGGCCCGAGCTCCGCTCGGATGGAGGAGCCAGTGCGGGTCTGGTAGTCGCCACAGGGGGTCCCTTGCACTTTCTCGTTGAGTTGGTCTTGAATGTTTTTGTGGAGAAAACACATTTTTATTTGCTTCGGGCTTCTGTGTTTATCACCTGCCTTGTTCTTTTAAATTAGAACGTTGAAAAAAAACAATTAACCAGTAACTATTTTACAGCTGACGATTAAATAGCATTTTTTTTAAAATTTTTAAAAAAAATTTTTTTTTTCAACGTTTATTTATTTTTGGGACAGAGAGAGACAGAGCATGAACGGGGGAGGGGCAGAGAGAGAGGGAGACACAGAATCGGAAGCAGGTTCCAGGCTCTGAGCCATCAGCCCAGAGCCCGACGCGGGGCTCGAACTCACGGACCGCGAGATCGTGACCTGGCTGAAGTCGGGACGCTTAACCGACTGCGCCACCCAGGCGCCCCTAAATGGCATTTTTTAGTACATTCACAATGTTGTGCAACTCCCACCTAAATTTTGCTTTTTTGTACCTATGGAATTACGTGCTCTGTTTTGTCTTAAATGCACGCGTATGGCTGTGCATCTTTCTTCATTTTATGTGCCAAGTGAGAGTGACTTGATTTCTGACAGCTCTATGATACTAGGTGCACGTGCCAAATTCTAGTTCATCAGTTTCGTATCCAGACGGACATTCAGGTTTTTCTGTTTGTATCCCTTTAAAAGCAGCGTTCTTCGGGTGTGTCTCCTTCTGCGTACCTATGTGTGTACGTGGGCAGATCCTTCCGTGCGGTGGAAAAACCAGAACGGGTGCGTTCGAGGCCGCAGAGCCATGTGGGTTCTGAGGACTGGACCTTTTGAGGTTCGGGTGAAGTACACCCTTGATGTGGTTCACATCAAAAAGGCTTTACATTTAAAAGGCTCGGACGTCTTTCCTTTGGAACATCCAGCCGTCCTCTCCAGAGCAGGGTCCTCTCCAGAGCAGGGTGCGTGCAGAGGGCCAGACTGGAGTCCCCTTAGGAAGCTGGGAGCTTGGGAGGAGCCTAGCGCCCGCAGGGCCTTCCTGGGCCTCAGGCTGACCTGAGTCCTTCCTGTGTTCCCAGGGAAGCACCCAGGGGATCTGGAAACAGACTCTTCTGTAGTCTCTGTCTTGCCTAAGGCAACGCATAAAGCCCCCAACAAAAGGTAGAAGTTAAAGATAGGTCACTGCTCTGAAAAATTGTCACTTGTCGTGGTGGCTTACAGCAGAATTTTGCTTATTGGACCAGCCTCAGGCTCTAGAGAAAGAAGGACTTAAATGCCTGCTTCCTTTGGGTGAGTGCAGCGGAGCCACCAGGCGGGGTGTGGCTGTCACCAAGCGAGCAGATGCAGTGAAGACACAGCTGTGGTGGGCCAGCTGCAGGCGCCGTCCCTGAGCTGGGCAGCTGAGACACGAGGGCTGGACCCTAAATCAGGAGAAGCCTCTGTCCTGAAGATGCCACAGTTAGCAATTAAGTAGTTAAAACCCGTTTCTACTTGCACTTCCTACATTGATGTCACTCTGGGAAGAAAATGGTTTTGTGCAGTTTCAGGTTAAAATTTTTTTTTAACGTGTACTCATTTTTGAGAGAGACAGAATGCGAGTGGGTTAGGGGCAGAGAGAGAGGGAGACACAGAAGCAGAAGCAGGCTCCAGGCTCTGAGCCATCAGCACAGAGCCCGACGCGGGGCTCGAACTCACGAGCCGTGAGATCATGACCTGAGCCGAAGTCGGATGGTCAACCGACTGAGCCACCCGGGAGCCCCCATGTGCAGTTTCAGTTGAAATAGATTCTCCAGTTGACTCCCCAGAGACTGACCCGCACTGTTTTCCCAGGACGGCAGCATGCGGGTCCCCGCCCCGTGTGCTCTCGCCAGGGCTCCGTTTTTCCTTTTAAACTTCTGCCAACTTGGTGGGTAAAAAATGGAGTTTCAGTGTTTTTGATTATCAGGGAACCAGACTACGTGTTACCTCTCAGTAAGTTTTTTCTCTTTGTACGGAGCTTTGTAGCCAGTTTTCACTGGAGCGTAGAACAGGAGAGTGAGCAGAGTGGGGACCGACCACGGTCCACGGGTTCCACGGTGCTTTTGGCACCGGACTCTAGGCCACAAATGGCCTCCATAAAAAAAAAAAAAAAAAAAAAAACCAAAAAAAAAAACCACCTCATCTTATTTCTTTAAAATCACACCCACCCAGACTTCAGCAGTCCCAGCTGGCCTCCTGCCGCACGCTGGCGCAAGGGCCCCTGACCGGGCGGTACGGGGACCGGTCTCAGAAGCGCTTCTGGGCAGGCCCTGGCCTTGCCACCGGGTCTCCGTGTGAGGGGAGCTGTCAGGAATGCAGAGTTCCGGCAACTGGAACTTGTAGACCATCGCCCTGCACATTTTAGGTTAATAGGATGGACACAGCAGAGATCACGTCGTATCTTCTGAAGCTCTAGGCCCTGATAAAAAGCAGAGAGGACCGCTGAGGATTGCTGGCTTAGTTGTTCCAGAATCTAACTGCTCCTCCCAGGCGCTCTTGCCGGTGGTTTCTGGCGCAGGCATCTTTGCAGCCGTTGGTCGTATCTGATGGTCCTTTTGTAGGCAGGTGACAGAGTGAACTGGGCGGGCCAGAGGCCAGTTAAGGGAGGGGCTGTCGAGCAGTATGTAGATTTGGGGTGTACGTCAGCAGAATTGGGGTGCAGTTACCTCAGACTGGCTGTTTTGTGCAGGCTCGCCTGGGCCAGAGATCTGGCATTGGGCTCGCCGTTACAGGTTTGCCGTGTCGCTCTGCCTCTGTCAGGAGGTGACACGTGGCACGCGAGGCGGTGACATTTGTCGTCAGGGCTTTTCCCAAGTCCTCTCTGATGTACCTTTGAAGAGTTGGTTCTGCTCTTCCCGAGATGCATAATTTGGCTCTCTGACTTTTCAGGGGAGTAGATGTTGGCCCTGTGGGAAGAAATAACTCTGTTCACGGTTTTTCAATAGGCGGTGCCTCTTTCCACACGGATAGGATTTTGTGGCTGGCCACGGACACTTCGTCATCCCTGTCGTCATTCTTAGCCCACCTTTTCCGAGTGGTTTTAATGAAGCTCAATTATGAATCAGGAAATTACAAATTGAAAAGTTACGAATCAAAAGATCGTGAATCAAAAAGCTATAAGTCAAAAAGCCATGAATCAAAAGGTATTTAAATAATTTTTTTCCTCCTTTTTCCACCTAATCATGCTTTCAAGGTGGAGAAAACACCGCTTTTCCTGCGTGGCGCTTTATCCACGTTGCTCCTCTCACGCCCTTTCCGCGGACTTTCTCGTGCTTTGTTCGGGTCTTCCTGTAAGGGGCTTGTGGAACTCTCTAACATGTGCTGCTTTGGTTCTGTTTTCTGAAAGCGGACCAGCGCTTAAATGTTTTTCAAGTCACTTTGTAAAAAGTTAACGTACTCCACTTTCGATTCGTATTCCCTCTTGAAGGCAGAAGTAGCTTATTTGAATGGCACTTAGAAGGTACTGGTCTCCGGCCGTTTTTGAGCAGGCCGGTCCGTCTCTGTTGCATTGGCTGTGGGTGCCTTGCCCGGCCAGGTGGGGCCCGCGCACGGGTGTCTCCCTGGCAACGCCCCGTCGCCCCGCCTCCCCTGCGCGGCTGCGCCGTGGGCCGGCCCGAGGCCCCGCGTGCTTGGCCTCGCGTGCCCTCCGGCCCGAACTCCGCCTCCGCGAGCGTCTCTGAGCCTTTTTTGCGTGTATTGCAGCTCTTTCCGGTCACTGTGGGACAGTGGATGTAGGAGGGCTTCTCAGAGAGGACGGCCGCGTCAGTGTAAACGGGGAGTCCCCGTGTAAGTATGGCCGCGCCGCGGGTGGGACGCTGGGCACTGGCGGGGGCTGCCGCAGGTGGTGGCGCGAACCCGTGGACACGGCCCCCCGGCCCCCCGGGCGCGCAGCCCTCGCGGGTTAGCGCGGGCCGACCCCTCGTAAGAGGCGCCGGCAGCCCCAGATTGCGTTTGCTGTGACATGTCCGTGCATATGTTTTCCTGCATAATTGAGTTTCCTAATGTTTGCAAACCGCCATTGTTGTGCACAGTCGAGATTGACCAGGTCTGCGTGGTAATCTGTCAAATTAACTGCTTGTCACCACCACCCACAGGCGATGGCTGTGAGGGGAAGAAGCTCCTTGAAACGCACACAGACATCCGCTTGCGGTCCTCAAGGCCAGAGAGGGTGGCGGGGGCCATTTGGCACGTCTTTTCTTACGCAGGTTGTGTCTCACACCTTTTTGTTTTGTTCTTATCATGTTCTTCGCAAATGCTGTGGCTCCTTGTTTGTTTGTGTTGTAAAAACTGACAGGAAGAGTACTGACTTTAGCTTGAAATACAGGGAATGTCTCTGTCGGAAAGCTCCTTTGGAACGTGTCGAGTGCAGGCTAAACGTCTGGGAAGTAACTTGCTTGAGGTGACACGACGGGTTAGAAAGGCTGGTCGTCCTCCCGGGTGGAGCTCAGCAGGAGCCGTTGCCCTGTGCATCGCTCCCGTGACCGCCGTGTCCTGAGCCTTTGCGGCAAGGAGGTGTACGTGCACAATGACGTGTTTTCTGACTTACGCCCCTAAGTTTCTTGCTAAAGGGGCACCTTTTTTAGAGTTTTTTTTTAAGCTAAACTTCAAAAGTAATGGCCTCTTAACTGTATTAACAGTGAAAACATACAGTTTTAACAGTATTAACTGTACTGTATTAACAGTGAAAACATAAAATGATAGATTAAGAACTCCTGTTCAACGACGTTTCTTTTCCTCTCAGGCATGTTGGAATTAACAGCGTCAGGAGTCAACGCGCAAATGCGTATATAACTTTCAGCAGTTTTTCTGCCTTATGTGATGCGTGGTGTTTGATAACCAAAGTCTGTCATGTTAGTCTGTTACCCAGTGGTACTGCCGTCTGTCATTCCAAAATACTTTTTCACTAGGAAGTGCTAACTTGTGGAATGATCAAGTGAAGACCAAGTCTATGGTTTTGGAGTCACCGTGGTCTCACCTAGAGCACGTTAAACTGCTGGTGTCCACAGATTTTATCTGTTAGCTCCAGCGGTGGGCGTGGGGGTGGCTGCCCGCCACCCTCAGGGCTCTCTGTAGGGGAGTCTGCCTTCCCTGCGTTGGGAGGAAGTGAACGCGGCGGCGTTTCATAATTGAATTTCAGAATCTCGCTCGGACTTAAATAGTTGATCATTTCTTCTCCTTGAGAAGAGGCTCTTGATGTAACTGATTTGAGAGTCTTGGTAAAATGGATCCCAGTGGGAATTTCTTGTACTGTAACTACGGGGAGCTGCTTTTCCGGTGTGAGTTTTGAGTGTGCCCCTCTTGCACGCATCTTGTCTGTCACAGGTCACCCCTCGGTACAGATGCTGCAGAGGATTGGAGCTTCCGGATGGTTTGTGTCGAAGACACTGTGGTCACTCCTTTGGTTGGCCGTGGTCGCTCCAGGTGGTTGTCCTGGCTCTCTGCGTTAGCGCTCTCTCCAGGGCTTTGGGCAGCTAGCGCCTGCAAGAGATGACTGATCTAACCAGATGAAAGTTTTGTCTCAGGGCTACGTGCTTTGATCCTTGACATAACGTGTTTCGTTCTCGGTTGCGTAGAAGTGCTAACACACCGTGTTCTCGGGCGTGTGAGGGTGTGTGAGCGTCTTCGTCTCTCCTCTGTGTCGTGTCCCGTGTTAAGTCTAGCTGCTTGAGTTAACTGTAATTGAGAATGCATGCATTTGGGGTTTCCCCTTTTTATCATCGTTCTGTGGCTCTGTCAGCATTCCATATTGCTTTGTGCTTATGACGTCCCTGTGTTCGACTGTATGGATATTCCTGCCGTGACGATCGGCGTCTTAATGTGCGCCATCCCTAATTTCATCTAAGCACACTTACGTGATATTTGTTTGCACGTTGCCTTGTGCTCTCTTTTGGCCTTCACGAAAACTGTCTATTTAGGAATTTGATTTCCCGAAGACCATTTCTTTAGAATGTTTGGTGTTTTCTCTTTTAGGGAAGGCAGCCTCTGGAATATTCTGGTGGCTAGGGATTGGATGGTACCAGTTTGTTACTTTGATTTCTTGGCTGAATGTGTTTCTTCTTACAAGGTAAGAAAACCAGTATCATGTCAACTCAATGTTTTTTGTTTGTTTTTAAACATTTCTTTATTTATTTAATTTATTTATTTAGAGAAACAGCAAAGGGGGAAGGGCAGAGAGAGAGGGAGAGAGAATCCCAAGTGGGCTCTAGGCTGTCAGCAGAGAGCCAGATGCAGGGCTCAGACTCACGAACCATGAGATCACGGTCTGAGCTAAAGTCAAGAGTCAGACACTTAACCAGCTGAGCACCCCGGGCGCCCCTCAACTTGGTGTTTTAAAGAACTGACTTTGTGGGATGCCTGGGTGGCTCAGTCAGTGAAGTGTCCGACTTCGGCTCAGGTCATGATCTCGTGGTTCGTGAGTTCGAGCCCTGCGTCAGGCTCTGTGCTGACAGCTCAGAGCCTGGAACCTGCTTCAGATTCTGTGTCTCCCTCTCTCTCTGTCCCTCCCCCATTTGCACTGTGTCTCTCTCAAAAATAAACGTTAAAAAATTTTTTATGATAAAATACTGACCTTGTGCTAATTGCGGGACATAATTTGATTTGTTGGGTTTTTTGTTTGGGTTTTTTTTTTGTTTGTTTTTATTTTTTTTTATTTTTATTTTTTTTACCGTTTATTTATTTTTGACAGAGAGCATGAGTTGGGGAGGGGCAGAGAGAGAGGGAGACACAGAATCCGGAGTAGGTTCCAGGCTCTGAGCTGTCAGCACAGAGCCCGATGCAGGGCTCGAACTCACAGACCGCAAGATCATGACCTGAGCCTAAGTCGGACAGTCAACCGACTGCGCCACTCAGGCGCCCCTCTTTGTTTATTTTTTTAATGTTTACTCATGACCTGAGCCTAAGTCAGACGCTTAACCGACTGAGGCCCCCAGCACCCCTGATTTGATGTTTTATAATGATTTATGTTCTATTTACATTTTTATAGTTCAGTATATTAATGTCTTGCCTATTTTATATCACTTTATTTTTATTTCTTAATTTTTGAGAGAGAGACAGCACACGCATGTGTGCACATGCCTTTGAGGGGGAAAGGGGCGGAGGGAGAGGATCCTAAGTAGGATCCTGATGCAGGGCTTGGTCTCCCAACTGTGAGATGATAATCTGAGCTGGAATCCAGAGTTGGATGCTTAACCCACTGAGCCGTCCGGGCACCCCTGTGTCACCTAATAGTTTACAAAGTGCTTTCGTGTTTTTATTTAATCTTTCAGACCACTTCTGTGAGAAAGGAAAGGCACTGTCATTCTTAGAGTACAGGGGTGACCCAGGTCGGGAGGGGGATGGTCAGGACTGGGAGCCAGACCGGGCAGTTCCTCCGGCTCCCAGTGACCTTAGTGTGGCTAGTGACCAAAGCTCTTTAGTGCCCTGCGTGGCACCTTGCATGCCAAGAGTTAGTGAATATAGTCGATGGTTAATATGGGCCAGGAGACATCATTTTATGGACAGGCTCCCCTGTAGGCACCGAGGGGGTGCCTGGCTGGCTCAGTCGGGGAGCCTGCGATGCTGGGGCTCTGGGTTATGCGTCCAAGCCCCACGTTGGGTGTGGAGCCTACTTTGCAAACAGACAGACAGCTGTAACTGCATTTCTAATACTGTCGACTTGCATTTTGAGATAAGAGGGGGGTTATTTGGTATGAAATTACGCAGAGAGGTAAAATGGAATGGCGGTCCTGCCCTTTCTTTTTCCAAGGTAATATTTTTCTTTTTATTTCTAGGTGCCTTCGAAACATTTGCAAGTTTTTAATCTTGTTCCTTCCATTATTACTTTTACTAGGTAAGTAGAGTTCGACCTACTTACCTCAGATGATTAACGGATACACGTAAAGGTGAAAGGGGGGAAAGGGCTGCGGACCTCAGTGCACCTTGTGCGGAGCGTTGTCTGCACATACGCGTGCAGCTTGGTCCCTCTCCTCTTCTAGGTGCGGGTCTGTCCCTGTGTGGCCAGGGACACTTCCTGTCAGGCCTTCCTGTGTTCAACTGGACACGTGCGCGCGGAACCCACGGGGTGGACATCCCTGAGGGCACCTTCACACCTGATGCCCCCCATCTGAGCCAGCCGCCAGAGGTAGCCACCCAGGAAGCCCCCTTCTCCGGCCTTGCCCATCCGTAGTCCTCCCAGTAGGTTTTCGTACTGCTGGGAACAGGTGCCCTGCCCTGTGTTAGAAAGTATGTTTAAACATCAGATAGGCAAGGCTTAAGACTTGCTCCTTAAACGTTCGGAGATAGTTTGGGTAACGCCTATTTAAATTTTCTCATTCTGTTAATTTTAATTAAAAAAAAAAACAAAACAAAACAGCGTTTACTACTTTGGAAAATACAGAGTGTATGAAGAAGAAAATACAACCCCCCATGTCTCCCACGTGGGGAAAATCCCTGATGACGGCCATCGTCACGCTGTGTATCCGTAGCGTTTAGGGGACCTTTCACTGCAGTGTCTGGTTTGTGCTTTTGACTCAAAACTGCACTTCAGATTCTTTGACGCCAGACGGAGTTCTCCATTTGTGTTGCGGTTGGAACTTGCTGTCCCTGTTGTAGGGCGGCGGCGAGGCTTTCCCCCGGCTTCCGATGAGCGAGGTGGAAAGGCAGGTGGCCTCGTTGTCTGGACAGTGTCACGGCCACGACGAGAAGCTCCGAGAGCTGGCAGCTGTGCTTCGGAGACTGCAGGCGCGGGTGGACCAGATGGACGGAGACGGCGGCGGGACCCTGTCCCTGGTTAGAAGAGCGGTGGGGCGGCCTTCAGGGGCCACACGTGCTGGCGGACTGTCGGGCTCCGAGGTTGTGCCCAGCAGTTCCCCAGGGTCTGTTCTCTCCGTGGGGATGAAGAGTGGGAGAGGCACGGAGGGGACAGGTGGCCGTGCCAATCGGTCGTTGGGAGCCGCGTGCTGTCCCGTGACCGGGAGCTCCGGTGGGCAGCGCGGAGATCTCGTGCCCGGGTACCCCGCTCTGCAGGTGGCTCCTGGCCTGCGTCTTAATCTGAAAATGGCCTGTCACAATTCAGTGACGTTTCATCTCAGTAGGGATTTGCTTTGCACTTCCTGTCAACACTGATTTGAAAAGTTCAAGTCTGATGTAAAATGTCTCGCGGTCATCAAGCGGTTAAGAGTAGCTGCTTCTCTGTCCGGAACCCTGAAGAGAGTCTTGTTTATTCGGTATATTCTCAAGGAGAGACCTGTCAGTCCACTCTCCCCACGGCTGATGTTTATTTTCTTAGGTTCCAACATGCGTGTTTATTCAGTGTTTAGATGCTTTGGATTGAAATCTTTCAAATACGGGTTGCCCCTTGCCCTAACAACCTGCTGTTCCCTCACGTCTCTGGTCTCGACCAAGAGCCCCCTCCCCACTCAGCACCAGAGTCA